ATTATTCAAGTCGATGCCGCGACTAATAAAATATAATATATCCCTATAAATAATATTCGATAAATAGAATATTCCGAGAAATTCTATAAATCGAACGGGGCGTTACAATCAGACCTACGAATTATACTTGGTAGCTAAAATCACAAAAATGACCTTTTGAAGGTCAAGGTTAGAAGCTAAATAAATGTTAAGGTTGGTTCATCCGATTTGTGAAGTTCTATGATTTTAGGACAAAAGATAGTTTTGAATATTTTTCTTTGGAGAAATTGTTCAAAGCAGGGTACATTAAGTGACATTCCATAAGTTTGAGTACATCGAAAGAGTGCAATGGCAGTTATGGAAAGGTGTCGAGTTTAATGTATCTGTGGCATTGCGATCAAAATCGTAGTGACTGATACCTTTCGGAAAATCATAGAAATACTTATTGGATGTTGAGATTCGATCTCAACGTGTTTCACCTGGTTCATCGGAACAGGACGGTGCAACAGACCGAAGAAAAATTTCTCTCTAGAAGATTGGTTATGTCAATGATAAGTTATTAAGAATTTCGCTTTTTCGTATTGGAGTTGTGCAAATAGCAGGATAAGTTCTGAACACAATCCTATCTAAGTTTAGTAGTCATTACTCTGAATGAATTGTTGGCAAGGCTTAGGCCTTGTCAAGAACATATTCGGATTCAGAGCTTTTCAGCACGTGTTGGAAAGTTGATACTAATAAGATTGGAAAAGATGTTCGGAAATTAGGCTATTTGTGGGATACTTCATGGTAACGAGAAAGAGTGGATTATTATAGTACTAAAAGTCAGAATATGTTCGTTAGCGCGAATTCTGATTTTTAGAGGAATACTAATTAATAAATCATTATGTTCATTTGTAGAATTGTTTTAAGGAAAGATATAGATAAAGTTCAACTTTATTACCAAGTGTACAAATGTGATACCACAAGGAAAAACTGCAACACGTATTTTGTGCTATACACCTTTGCAGAGGGAACCTCGTTGTAGTGGGAGGGTTGCAAGACAACTCCATTCGTGATAATAAGAGAGTCGTTGGACTCAGTCTGTATTAATCACAAGATCATGGAATTCATGTTTTTGAGAAAGTCTCGGACTTAGTCTCTAGTAAACTTGAATCAATCCCTAGTTATACAATGAGGAGATCCAAGACAATGATGCATAAACTTAGCAAAGTTTTAATGATTTCTGATTTAGGGTCATGGACTCTTATCAGATCTGGGTTCTTATAGAATTACCAAGTAGCAAACTTGCTATTGGACGATATCTATAAGTGAAGACTTTAGTACAAGACTTTTTGTGAAATAGCAGACTCAGAAAGAATGGGATCTATTATGAGTTAGTTTTTCACCAGTAGCCGTGTTTAAGTCTGTACATATAAAGGCTTGATGTGAAATGGTGAACTCAGAAAGAATGGGATCTATTATGAGTTAATTATTTCACCGATTGCCTAATTTAAAGCTGATGCCATTCATATGAGTTATGAGTTAGGCAAAGTGGTTGTCAAGACATTTTCCTTAACCGGAAGTCTTGTAGGAATATCCACAGAGCAGCACCCAAAAATGTTCATTGGAAAAGAGCTAAAAAGCATATTGTCAGTAGGCTGAAAGAGTCCATTTAAAGGACTGTGGTGGGCCGATCATTTGGTTGATAAGTTCGAATCATGGATTTGATTATTCACCAAATGAGCATTGTGTGTGGCGCAATGGAAGCGTGGTGGTATTTTTGTACTATGCGTAGACAACATCTTGATCACTGGAGACAGTGTGAAAATGTTGACAAACGCAAGGGTATGATTATCCAAGTAGTGGTGCATGAAAGATTCGGAATCAACAAATATTCTTGAGATTGAGCTTCACAAGAAAGATTTGTTGCGATTGTCCCAATTTTCATGTCCAGACTGTCGTAAGGCTCATTTTATTTGCATGATACAGAGGCAGTCCTTATGCATGGCAAGCGGAAGCCTAGTATATGAAATAGATGAGGCCTGATATTTATTTGGTTAGTAAATATCGAAGTAATCCTTGATGGGAGCAATGGTTCATGGTAGAACATAAGATCAAGCACCGTAAAAGGGCTAAGGATAATATGTAGGGTTACCAGACGAACCATATACAACCTATGGATTACAAAGGATTCTGATTTCTAATCAGACATGAACAACAAGTAAAAACCACCTTATGGTTTGTGTTCACTTGTGGGAACCAAGCAGATTAGAGGAATGTCAAGCGGTGATGCGTTGACGGATTCCACTATGAACTCAGTACGTCCCTTCCCAAATGGCGAGCGACGTAGAGATTGGATTTGCCATTGAACTAGAAATGTGAAACCTCGTCTAGCCAGGTCAGGTCACAATTTGTTTGTGATGACAGTTGGTGCAGTTACATACAGAGAGGAATCACTAGTTCATAAAGAAAGTGACACATAGAGCAAGTACGCCCGTTGCAAAGGACTGCGACAAGGTGGATGTTTGTCGCCTAGTTACATCGGTAGACAACCAGGTAAATCCTTTTAGGATTGGCTTTCCAGCGAAAGCGGATGATGGCCATGTTAAAGGATTGGGAGTCGGATGTATGGCAGAAAGGGCAACAGTTCTTTGAGAATTGAGATTGAAAGAGAATTGTGGTTAGCAATAGCCATGAGCTTATTAAGCATAAGTGGGAGATTGTTAGAGGTATGCTGTAAAAGCTCCTATTTATAGATTCTATCAATTCCATTTTGATCTGGCCATCATGTTTCGGTCAAAGTACATATGCTTGCAGTTTATTTATTTATGCAATCATACTCCATGTCTTATATTGAGGTAGTGTGGTTCGAAGAGTTTCGAACAGAAAGATCACCTATCGGTTCCTTATAAGACTAAACTATTCGTTAACAGTCTAGACTGGCAGTGAGACCCCACTTGGAAAAAGACTGTAGTGTATTCTTCATTCAGTTGGTCTTTGACTGAAGGATTACACTAGCACTTATGTTAAGTGTTGAACAGGACCGCGGAAAGATAAGATTATGAGACTCACTGACCGTTGTTGTAATCTAGACCTTCAGTAATTGATGCGTACTCTTAAGCTGTAAGATAATATAAAATGGGCATATGTATTCATTACTTATTTATTTGATTTATCAAGGGTGATTCCTATTCTGCTAGGATGACATACTCGGTATTTTGGTAAATAAGTGTGTTTACATGATATGCCATTATAAATTATTTACAGTCACTGTGTCCCAGTGCGCTGGGTTGATGACGTCCCCGAAATGAGCTCAGGAAGGAATATTATGTCAAGCCCTGCAGGCGGATGTGTTATCCGACATAATGATTAAGGATCTGAGTGGTACTAGTTTCAGAAATGAATAAGAAGTTGATTAATTATTTTGTCAGTAATTTAATTAATCAACGGACGTTATATCTTAAACATGGGGAGATAAATCGATCAATTGGATTAATATATTTAATCAGTGGAGATGAATTAATTGTAATTCGGAGCTAAATGGGGAGAGCAATAATATTACTCTAGTGGAATGTTTTATTATTTAATTCCAAGATTAAGGAATTAGGAATTAATTATATTCCATAATTCCCTAAGGATGAGAATATTCCTTCTAGAATATTACCTAGGGTTAGGAGACTATGGAGTCTTCTAGAAGGTAATTAATTATTAGGAATATTATCCTAGATGGGAAAAGGAGATGGAAGATAATAAGGATTCCTAAACCTTAAGGAATAAGCCCATATTTAGCACCTCCTTTAGGTCCCTATTGTAGCCTATAAATACACTAGGTCCCCTAACCTCTTGGACAAGCTTTACACGTTTTTTCTCCCCGAAGGGCTGGAGAAATTCGGCCTCTTCAAGCGAGAAAGAAAGAGAGAGAGATTCTTCTTCGAAAGAAAATTCAGTTAGCACCGTAAGGTCTTAGAAGAAGATGATCAAGAGGTTTTGGAAAATCTAATAAATCGCTCCACCAAGTTTTATTAGAGATCGTGTAAAGGTCATACAATAGAATATTCGAAGGTTGTTGATTCGTGTTCCGTTTAATATATTTCCCAGATCCGTTCGTCTACTTTACTGAAGGTCTGCGTTAATTTAACGCAACACCTTGTGTAGCGCGGTGGCGTGCGGCGCTGTCTTCCCCGTGCGAGGTCGCGGGTTCGATCCTTCTCCTTGCCCAAATAGGAGACATTTTCTTTTTACCAGATGAAGAGAAAAAATGCGCGGGCCATGCGGCCCGCGTCCAGGCCCGCGCCTCTCACAGCTCCAGCCCGCGCGCGGCTCGAGAAGACCGATCCCAGCCCGAGTGTAAGCCTAGCATGGGAGCGCATGTCCTTGGCCCAGATGTCCTTCTGTGTGGCCCAACTACCTTGTGCGCGGCCCAACTGCAGCATCACTACGGCCCAACTCGTTGTTGGTGCAGCCCAGCGACTTTGAAACAAGCCCAGAAGCATCCAAGCGAGTCCAGCTTGACCGGAGTGAGCCCAGATCGCTGCCAGCAAGCCCAGAACGAGGTTAGACCGGTCCAGGCGTGTCCAGCTCGCACCAGAACGGTTCAACTTGGTCCAGAAGCCCCGGTTCGAGTCCAAGATGGTTCCCAAGCGGTTCGAGCAGTCCGGTTCGCCTACCGAAGGTTCGAGATGATCCGATGACCTTGATGAGCGATTGGAGCACCATGGTGACTCGATTAGAATCGAGAAAGGCCAAGTCTAGCTGCCCATTAGACTTTGGTGTTCAGACGATCTCCATCAACGCAAATCAGAAACGTCTCAGAGTCGGCAAAAATTTTTAAAACCGTAAGTCCTAATCCTAACTATAGATTCCGCTGCGTTAGGTTTATTATTCAATAGATTTGAATGTGCACATTGTCGACGTTCCTATTAGAACCCAACACCGCCATCGCGATCGCCCGGAGCCTGAGAAGCTGAGGATCACGCTGTCCACGTTCACCGGCAATGATCCCGATGCATGGCTCAACCATGCTGTGCAATATTTTGAGCTCAACGAGACCGACAGACGTGATCAGGTAAGATACGCTGCCTATTACTTAGATGGTGAGGCCAACGTGTGGTGGCAGTGGCTTACTATCATATACTGGAGCTGACAACAAGTCATCCGATGGAATGATTTCGAGCGAGAGTTACTCACACGTTTCGGAATGTCCAACTACCACAACTACAATGAGGCTCTAACGCGAATAAGGCAGACATGTAGCTTACGTGATTATTTTAAAGAATTTGAGCGTTCAGCTTGTCGAGTAAGAGGCTGGCCCAAGACCGCGTTAGTAGAAGCTTTCATAGACGGCCTAAAGTTTGATCTAGCTGCTGAGGTGCGCTTAGAGCGACACGAGACAATGCATGCCACCATGGAGGTTGCTCGAAGCCGAGAAGATCATCTTGTGGCAACTCAAAGGGGACGGGCGGATGCACGCTACCCCGAGATGCGACGCACACAACCGAACACAAGCAATATGGTTCCGAGCGGCCGACCACCCGATAGTTCTCGACCACCAGTCCCGGAGGTTAAGAGACTGTCGCCCGAGGAAATAAAGCACCGGCGTGAGAAGGGACTCTGTTTCAAGTGTGACGAGAAATTTATGCCTGGCCATCAATGCAAGCAGGCTTTTGTCATCCACGTCATCGATGATGAAAAGCCCGAGATCGAGGAGGATTGGGAGCAAGAAGTCGAGATTGGGGTTCCCGAAGAGGAGGCCGAAATCTCAATGTACGCAATGGCTGGAACGAGAGGACCGAGGACGACGCGGCTACCAGCATGTGTCATGGACCGCCGTATAGTCGTGCCCGTAGACAACTGATCGTCGCACAACTTCATCAACGCCGATTTATCTCAAAATTTGAAGTTGCCAACGAAGAGGGTCGAACCATTTGATGTTCGAGTAGCCAATGGAGAACGGCTAACGTGCCACACGCGGGCACGGTCGATTACAAGGATCCCCCTCTGTTCGACGACTACTTCGAAGAGATCGAGCAAGACTCGATGGATTATGATGGCCTACCTATTGTTCACTGGAGCACGGCGTGTGCAAGGGAGCGACGCGCATGACACTTGGAGGCTAAGGCCTCGGGCGTTCACTTTACTGAGAAGATGAGCGGTGCGCGAGGGGAGGATGTTGGGTGGACGACGCGCACGTGGGACGACCGCAAGGAAGGGCGCGAACACGCGCATTGGCGTGGACGCACGCGAACAAGATCACGCCTCAAAAGGAAGAGCTATCGGAGGTTTTGGGAGAGTTGTCAAAGGACTAGAACCTGTTGGGAATGGCTAAGGAACCTGGTGGCTCGAAGGAATGGAAGGCACGCGAGTTGGGTGCCCAACGGGTGCAGCCCGCGCACATGGGCGTGCTGCAGCACGCTGGCAGGCAGTGGCGCGCAGGGCCACGCTGATGCGGACACAGCGAGAAGACTCAAGAACGTAGTGAGTCGTGCGTGGCATGCGCGAAGGAGGCTAAGTCGCCGTGCCGGCGAGGCGCGATACGCGGATGGACGCGCACGCGCGAAAGACGACGCACGCGATACTGAGGGGAAGAGCGCGGGTTTGAATGCACAGGCGACGGGGCACGCGCGTACTTGCCTGGGCGCACAAGGATTAGGTGTAACGCTCCGTTTGAATTTGAATTATTTGAGATTATTTATTAGCTTATTATTGCCATTATTATGCCATTATTATTGCTTATTTATATTATTATTATTATTATTATTATTATTAAATATTTATTTGTGATTAAATGTCTAATTGTCTTAAATGCTTATTATTATTAAATAATATTATTATGTGTCTAAGTGTGTATTATTAATACAATAATAAAATGTGTTTTTATATATATATATATATATATATATATATATATATATATATATATCATCCGGATTAAATTATTATTCGTCGCCAATCGAATCGAACGGAAATTCTTGTTGTTGCTTTGTATTTGATTTTCCGGCCCAATTGAGATTAATTTTCTAGCCCAAATGATTGAGTAAGGTTGGCCCAAATCCTTAATTAATCTAGCTAGATTATCTTGGCCCATATCCTTTTTCACGTGCATATAACCGAAGGAGAATCTGATCTTTTCTTCGCTGCGACCCGGTCGTCGAGTTCAAATTGCAGGCGCGATTCTATCGT